TAGTAGTTCAATAAACAAGAAGTTAAAATCAAGTCACTTACATTTTAGACACAATATTGACTGTTTTTGCTCAGTTTCGCTGATGAAAATAGTTCCAGTCAAAGCCACGGCAGAACTGTTTTGTGTCTCCGAGCAACACAGCAGTGTTTCGTTATCGAATGAATCCACGTTTTTGAACGAATCAAGTGAGTCAATGATTCAGTAACCCATTCATAAAGACAGTAGTCACTTGCCTTGTTTCTGAATGAATCAGCCGTTTGAACGAATCTGTTGAATTAATGACTAAAGACTCGCTCATTAAAACAGTAATTTGCCGCCACCTACTGGTTTGGTTTCATATTTAAAACTATTTGCATTTTCCCCAACATTTCTTGTTTGTACGTTTAAAAAATATTTAAAACATTAATCTCATAAAAATGTTTATGCATTTGAAATTTGGCAGTGTAAATGCATTTATGGCACCTCAGCTTCATCAGACAGTCTAAATCCATCTGATGCTTCTTCAGATGCAGCTTCTGTGTTTCCTGCAGTTTGTTGATACTGATTTCATTTGAATGGTAACAGCTCTACAGTTTCTTATGATTCTATCTAACTGAATAATGGAAACAATGTAAGAATTTTATGTGAAAGATGACAATTTAAGAAACATCTGTTTTGTTGAATAGTACAGCAACTCCTTTTTTGTTAATTATTATTTCTACCTTTTATTTTCTAGTCACAGAGCACTTTATTTTAAGAGTTGTTTAAGTGAAAGAACATCTGTAACTTTGTCCAAATTGGGGAATCGTAATGTTTAATAATTTTTTTTTATCTAAATATTTTTTTTTGCATTAAAATGTATAGATTATTGTTTGTATATGCTGTCAATTATAGTTTTTAGAAAGAAAACCAGAATCGGCAAAAATCGGTATAGGCTGGTCACACTTACAAAAAAAATCGGAAATCAGAATCGGCCAAGAAAAGTGCAATCAGTGCGTCCCAAATCACGTACTTATGCACTATCCTATGACGGTTTGTATAAATAGTGCGGGTAGTGCATTCACACTGGAAATTCCAAAAGGAAAAAGTGCACTTTATATATATAATATACAAAATTAGTATCTGAATATCTAATAATAATAATAATAAAAAAATAAATTAATATAATTTAAATGAATATCTGTATGTTAGCAGGATGGTCTGTTTCAAGTAAATATCTGCAGGAATGCCTCCCAATGTGACGTACAGAGAGCGTCAGGCTGAATGAGTGTTTATCAGCGCTGCGATTCCCTCCTGAACTCTGAGGAAGGCTCTCGGATGTTTTTTCTTTAAAAAAAAACACTCAAATTGAAGCAAATCAATTGAATTTCTTGTTTCAACTAGATTTAAGGCGGCCGTCCTCCAGACAGTTTGATTCTTCACAGAGCGGCTCTTGTGCTCGAGTCCCGCAGACAAACACCAGCTAGAGCCCTCCATCTCATGATTTGCTTGCAAAATTAATCTATTACTCAAAACATCCTCTTCATTCAGTTACAAAGCAGCAATAGAGTGATTTCTGAAGATCATGTGACACTGGAGTAATGATGCTGAAAATTCAGCTTTGCATCACAGGAATAAATTACATTTTAAAACATATTCAAATAGAAAACAGTTATTTTAAATTAAAATGATATTTCACAATATTGTTGTTTTTGCTGTATTTTTGACCAAATAAATGCAGCCTTAGTGATCAGAAGAGACTTAATAATAATAATAATAATAATAATAATTTATATATGAAAATTATATATACATTTAATTTTAAAACGATTTAGTTTTATTTATTATATTTAACAACAATATTTATTATCTATTATTGATATTATTATTATTATTCAAACCTGTATGACAAATAATTATATTTATTTAATAATGTATTATTTTATTATTATTAATTTAATTGTTACACAATAATAAAGACATTTATTTATTATGTAAATAATTTAACAACAAAACTAATAATATTTATGTACTATGTATTATTATTATTTGTATTATCAGTATTATTATTCAAACCAGTATGATGACAACAACAACAATAATAATAATAATTAATATTATTGTTATTATTTAACCCCCCAAATTACATATTTATTATTTAAATTATTAAACCGTAATAATAACAACAATAATAATCATATAGTAATAATAATGAATTATACTTGTGAGACACAACATTTTTATTTAGTTTATTATTTATTCATTTATTGATTAATAATAATAATAATAATAATAGACACATTCTATTCATGTCATACTGTCTTCATGTCTTTTTTTTCTGATTATAAGTGAAATTTCCACACATGATCAGATGCTCACAGATGCTGGCATTGTGGTTAATTATTTCCACCGTTATTATTAATGATGTGAGTCGAGCGGAGGCTTGTGACTGTAACTCTGCACACGAGGACTCGTGATTCGTCTCAGACCAGGGTCCAGAGATAAGAGGAAAAAACTGAAAGAGAGAGAAACACATGTGAAGTAGGAAATACAGAGAGAAACGCTGAGTCCAGAAGGAAACTATTATTCTCGTTGTGGATCATTATGAGACGATTGGAGAACAAACACACACAGACTCCAGCTGTAAGTCCCCAGATTTCTCTGTCACATCCGATTGTTTATCTGTTTTGTCTATATTTAACTGTTCAAAAAGCCTGATTGGTTGAGCACTGTCTAATATCAAATATCATAAATGTGTGTAATTTTCAGAGAAGTTTGCGCTCATACAGAAGTGCTGTGGTGACTGTACTTTTCATACACCGTACTGGATGATTAAACGTTAAACAGTAAAAGTGACTTTTGACTCTTGACTCTTGCTCTGTTATACAAACACACACACACACACACACTTAAGTTACACCCACACACACACACACACACACACACTTAAGTCACACACACACACACACACACTTAAGTTACACACACACAGACTTAAGTTACACCCACCCACACACACACACACACACACACACACACAGAGAGAAACACACACACACAGAGAGAGAGACACACACACACACACACACAGAGAGTGAGAGACACACACATGCACACAGAGAGAGAGAGAGGGAGAGACACACACACACACACACACACTTAAGTTGCACACACACACACACACTTAAGTTACACACACACACACGCACGCACATATACACTTAAGTCACACACACACACACACACACTTAAGTTACACACACACACACACTTAAGTTGCACACACACACACACACACACACACACACTTAAGTTGCACACACGCGCACACACACTTAAGTCACACACACGCACACACACTTAAGTTACACACACGCACACACACTTAAGTTACACACACACACACACACACACACACACACACACTTAAGTTACACACACACACACACACTTAAGTTGCACACACACGCGCACACACACACACACTTAAGTTGCATACACACACACACACATATACACACGCACTTAAGTTGCACACACACACACACACACACACACACACACACACACACAGAGCGCTCTCGCTTCTGTTTTCTCTCTCTCTGTG